CGCCGGGCGGGGCGGCCCCCGCGTCCGCCCCCAGGGTCCACGCGAGGCGGGCCGGAGTCCGGCGCTCGGCCCCGCCTCGCCGCTACGTATTTATTTAAGCCCAGAATCACGGCTCCATTTGTACTTCACGCCAGACCCCTGCCCGGGGCGGCCCGTCGGGCACTGTGCAGACCAATAAAGCGGGCATGGACGCGGGCGCCCCTGTGTTCACCGGCGCGGGTCTCCGCGGCGCGCACGCGGATGCACCCCCGAGCCCCCTCCGGGCCGGGCCGGGCCGGCAGCTTCCTTTTGGCCTCCCTCCTGAGCATAGGACCTTCGTGCTGAGCTATTTTTCGGTCACTTTGAGCCTGTGCGCATCTGATTCAGGCAGGTCTCAAACACGGGGATCCTCCTGCCTCAGCCTCCCAGGTGCTGGTGCAGGCCCCTGGGCGAGCTTGTCCATTGCGTGCGCAGGGCTGGGGATTTGGGCGCTCCCCGAGCTGCGTTTGTAGCCGTTTTTAGGGTTCCATTCAGCGCTTGAGTTTGGCCTCACGCTGGGGGTTCTCCTGCCTCCGACTCCCAGGATGGCAGGGTTACAGGTGTGCACCCCCTGCCTGGAGTTGGGAGGGTTGGACGCCCCCTGTCAGTGAATGGGGAACCCTTCCTAGGGACGGCTGGGGCTTGAGCCATTGGGTGGGGGGCCCTGGCCTCACTCGGCCCTTGTCTGCGCCTCCTGTGGGGTCCACTCCAACCGTTGGGGCAGACCAGCCAGGACCTCGACCCCAGAGACGTATCCGAGGCCCTTGACTGGCCCCGCGAGCCAGTCCAGCGTCTAGCAGCGGGCTATTTGTACTTTTTATTTTGGTGGTTTTGAGGCAGAGTCTGGCTGTGTAATGCACACGCTCCCTGGCCTCGCTCTACAGTCCAGGCTAGGTGGGCCCGGGGAGACCCTCCTGCCTCGGCCCCCAAGGCAGCTGCTTGCTTTTCCCAGCATTGAAGGCTTTTGCCCGGGACTCTCCGCCTAAGCTGGCGTCTCCAAATCAGGGCACCAGCCCCATCTGTCATGCACCCGCCCCTCTGGCAGCAGCAGGACCCCCAGGCCCGTCTCATTTCTCCTCCACGACGAGCTGCACCTCGCTGACGGGGCAGTCCTCCTGGCTGGCCGTCCAGGGCATCTGTGGGGGCCGGCAGGCAGTGTTGTCCTGGGTCGCCTTCCCCATCGCCGCGGGCCGCCCCCCAGCCAGGCCGTCCACGCATCCCCGTGGGCCCCCACCTACCAGCTCTCCGTCCCGCGGGGCGTCGGCCAGGGGGTTCTTCATGGGCGGGAGCCGCGGGAAGACCCTGGTCAGGAGTCCGGACCTGCGAAGACAGCGCGGAGGCTGGGACTCGGGCGCGTCTGGGGAGGATGGGGTGTCGCAGCCCTGTTCTCTTACATCCACAGTGGACCTTCCCTCATTCCCTCCCGACCTTTATTTTGAGAGGAGAATTTGATCTTTGTGAGATAAGGTCTCACTGGCCAACTCGGCCTGGCCTTGAGCTCACTGTAGCCCAGGCTGGTCTCAAACTCGCAGAGATCCTCCTGCCTCAGCCTCCCGAGTGCTGGGGTCACAGGCCTTGCCCCTGGGACAAGGTCTTGCTGAGCAGCTGGGCTGGGCCCGGAGCTTGAGCTCCTCCCGCCTCAGCCTCGTCCAGGTGCTGGGGACTGCCCCAGGGACAGACGGTGAGAGTGACCGGGTGGACACCGAGCCATGCGTGGCAGGACCTGCCTCCGCCGGCCCTCAGCGCTCGGGGTCCCTACGCCCACGGCCCCGAGCAGAAGCAGAGGCCCGCGCAGCCTACCTTCTGCAGGCGACAACGGCTGCCCCCGCGAGGAGCACGGTGCCCAGGGCCACCGGCAGGGCCGTGCGCCAGAGGCGCGCGTGGGAGCTCTCCGCGGAGTCGCACACTGCAGGGACGAGCGCGGGGCTGAGGGGGACACAGCAAGGCCAGCTGGGGGTGCCAGGGCCTCCTGCCCTCGGCACGCAGCAGCAGGCGTGGGGAGCCCCCCGTGTCCCAGGCCCCCCGAGCCTTGGGGACGTGGAGCAGGAACCCCAAGAGCAGCCTGTACTCTTCGGTGCTGGGAATTGAACTCGGGACCTCGCGCTTGCCAGGCGGGCGCTGTGCGGCCCAGAGCTACCTCCCCGGCCCGAAGGACCCCAGCAGGGCGCTGCCCACCAAAGGTTTGGGGCGTGCTCCAGGCCGTCCAGACCCCGTTCAGCTTGGGCCTGGCTCTGATCTGCGCCGAGTAGGTGCCAGGGTTGGGGAGCAGGAACCAGTTCTCGGAGAGCTGCCGTTTGCAGAGACGGCGAAGAGGAGGAAGGAAGGAGAAGGGTGGTTGGTGGGCGGGGTACAGCAGGCCAGGTGTTGACCCAGCTGGGGTGTCACTGCCCCAGAGTGCACAGGCTGCAGCCGGGGGACGCCGAGGCCTGGGGGGCGGGGTTCGTGGGAGCTACAGATGAGGTGGGCCTGCGCTGGGAGGCGTCGGGGCCTTTAAGAGGCGGGGCTTGGTGACGTCACGGGGCGTGGCCTGGACGTGCGTACAGGCGACCCGGCTCCCGACTGTCAGAATGGAAGGCGCGCTCTAGGGCCTGCCCGGCTCTGCTCTGCTGCCTCGCTGCAGCCCGAGGGAGGAGGCCCAGCCCGGCCTGAGCCCAGTCAGCCTTTTTTGAGTTTTTTAAAGAAATTTGAGGCAGGGTCTCACTATGCAGCTCAGGCTGGTCTCGAACTCGCAGAGATCGTCCTGCCTCAGCCTCCCAAGTGCTGGGATCACAGGCATGCCCCGCTGCGCCCGGCAGCCTTGCCTTTTTTTAGGCTGATTGCTGACCTCAGTTTCGTCACCTCAGTGCAGAACTGAGTCACACACAAGGCTGAATCTGGCCACAACCAGCGATGACCACACGCTGGAAGGCCTTGAAGAGGGCATTCCCCAAAAGATGTCCAACTCCAGAACTTGGAAAATGAGGAATTTTGCTGATGGGATAGAGACTGAGACACAGAGATGACGCACAGAGCTATAAGGCAGAGATGGGGAGACCCAGAGACAGACGACAGGGATGGGACACAGGCGCAGGGCGGCCGGCCTCCGGGATGCCCCCGTGACACAGGGACCGCCTACGGCCGTGCCCCAGCACCGCCACCCTGGTGCCCACTGGACCAAGGCCGAGAGCAGGGCCAGGCGCCCACAATCCCGGGCCCTCCTCCTGCAGGCGCCCAGCTTGACGTCTCCATTTCTGGGGCCTCGCTGCGGGCACAAAACCCGCCTTGGGGAGCAGGCGCCGGGGCGTGAGCTCGGCCTGTCCCGCAGGGCCCGGCCCGCGGAGCATGCATGGATGGGCTGCACGGGTCGTGGGACACTCACCAGGGTGGGCTTGGAGGGGCTGCCTGGAATCTGTAACATGAAAACAAGCGGGGTTCTGGAGTCCGTGGGGGGAAGGCAGCCGCGTTCCCAGCCCCGGCTGACAGCGCGGGCGCCACGTGACCAGCCTGTCCTCCCGCACTCGGAGCCTGAGGCAGGCAGAACGGCACCAGGTCAAAGCCACCGGGCTATGCGGCATGCGACTCCGGCTCAAATAAGCAAAATGAAATTCAAACAGCCAGCCAGACAGCTCAGGGGGCTGAATGCCTGCTCAGGCAGATGCAGGGCGCAGGTTCGATCCAGGGCCTGCCGCGCTGGCCCGGCACCCGCGTTTCCTGAGCCTGAGATTGAGGCTGGTGTGGTGTCGCGTGCCTGTAACCCTGGCCTTTGGGAGGCTGTAAACAGGAGGGTCACTACGAGTCCGATCTAGTAGTGAGACCCTGGACACCCTTCCGCAAAATACAGAAAAAAAAAATCAAATATAAGATGACATGGGGGCGCCGCGGAGCATGTGCCGGGCGCTGCGCGACCCGGCCTGGGTGCCCGTCCTGCCTCAGCCTCCTGCTGCTGCGAGGGTGGCAGGCACCTCAGCGCCAGCTCCCTCCGCCCCCTCCTGGTGTGCTCCCGGGTCCCAGGCTCAGGCTCAGCCCGGTGACAGCCATGCCCGCGTCCCACGGTGACCTGAGCGAGGAGCACGCCTGCCTCGGGAGTGTCACCTGCTGCGTCAGGAGCTCGTACTCAAAGCTGTCTGAGAAGTGGCTCTGAGGCGGCGCCCAGGACATGCGGGCCTGCGACTGGTTGCACTCGGTGGTTATGTTGGGGGCGCTGAAGGTCTCTGAGGGGAGGAGAGGGTGGCGTGAGACCCCAGGGCAGGCCGCAGGGACCCCACCTGGCATCTGCCGCAGGCTGGAACTGCGATACTCCTGCCTCAGCCTCCACGATGCGGGGTGACAGCCGTGCACCACTACGCTGGACTACGTTGTGCCTCCGGGTCTGAGTAGCGCGGCTCCGATGCTACCGCCCGTCCCCCTCCTCCACCTCTTCCTCTTCCATCTCCTCCTCCATCTCCTCCTCCTCCATCTCCTCCTCC